TTTGCGCAGACACAGGAGTGCGTGTGCTTTCTGGCTTCTGTTCGCGAACTGCCGTTTATAGTTTTGCCTGTTTTTCTGTGGCATTTATGGTCCTTTTCCCTAGGAACATTTTTATATCCTGGATTTCGGTAATTTCGGCGTAATACATACCCCCTCTCCCGACCGCCCCTGCTCGGACAGCCCCGCGGGCGCTTTGCAGACACAGGAGTGCGTGTGCTTTCTGGCTTCTGTTCGCGAACTGCCGTTTATAGTTTTGCCTGTTTTTCTGTGGCATTTATGGTCCTTTTCCCTAGGAACATTTTTATATCCTGGATTTCGGTAATTTGTCGGCGTAATACATTGCAGATATTTTTCTCCGAGTCTGTTTCTTACCTTTTAACTTTGTTTACTGGTTCTTTTGAAGAAAGAGGTCTATTGGTTAGCGTTGTTGCACTTAAATTGTCATCCACGGCTGCGTTTTAGGTCAGTGCTCCTCCAGCTGGCGCGCCGGCGACCCCTGGGGACCGCGTGAAAATGCAGCCTAAGGTTCGGCAGGTCTGGGGGCGGGTCTGAGAGTCCGAGTTTCTAATAAGCTCCCAGGTGACACCAGGTGACACCAGGCGCCTGTTTTGGAAACAAGCTTTGAGTAGCAAGGTTAGGGTAGTGCTTAGGGCATAAATATATCCCCCTGTGTTTTCTAATAATATTGTCATTTTGGTTTTACTTTTTCTAAATTGTTGATTGTATTACAGATATCTCCTACCCCCCTCCCCCTTTATGTTTTTACTTTTTATGTTTATTGCACAGGGAACAAGATTTTTCTCTGGCTTTGTGAGTCTCCCTCTCCCTCACTTCCCCCAAAAGATTATTTTGAAGGGTCGTAGTATCTTAGTAGTAGTAACAACAGGAATATAAAATTCCCTTTAGTGGGCTTTAGGTGAAGGGCTGTGGTATCAATTAAACAAGATGGACTAATTAAGATTTCAAAAAAGTCTGAATCATTTATTCTACAAGCATGAAATGTTTGTGTGAATCTATCTTCCTATATAATAAAATCCTAATATGCAGATTGACAGAACAGCAGAACCACTGGTCTCTATGACGTGAACTGACCACCAGGGGGCAGATGCTCAATGCAGGAGTGGCAGCACTGAGGACCCCTCAGGGGATGTCCGACTGCTGGCTTAGGCCCGCTCCACACCAGAGGTCAGACATCCCCCAAGGGGTACCAGAGTGCGAGAGGACACAGGCGGAGCTAAGGGACCCACCCCCCCACAGTGCACAAATGTTGTGCACTGGCCTCTAGTCTATATATTAAAAGCCTAAGCAACCGTGGGAGCCTCTTCTGCCTCCGCAGCAGCACTAAGGAGCAGCAAGCAGGCGGGTGGTTAGGAGCGAGGGGTCCCAGACTGCGAGAGGGCACAGGCCACACTGAGGGACCCTCCCCTCCCAGGCCCTCTAGTGTGTGTGTGTGTGTGTGTGTGTGTGTATGTATATATATCCTATATAATAAAGAACTAATACGCTAATTAGACCGGACAGTAGAATGACCTTCACAGACGACCAGTGGGCGGGACTGCGAGGGCCGAGCCCCTTGATGCATGAATTTCATACATTGGGCCTCTAAAATATATATATCAAGCAACTGGAATGACAGAATGACCAGTCGCTATGACACACACTGTGGCAGCCAACTGGCCCAATCGGTGCCCTGATTGGCCCCCCCCACAATCTTCTTCAGTCCCTTCCCCTGCTGGCCCAGCCCCAATTGGCCCCTCCACCCCAATCAGGGTCAGGGCCAGATGGCCAACATCCTGTGTCCCTCCCCCGAGCTGGCCCGGCCCAGCCCTGATGGCCCCTATCGGGGCAGGCTGGCCGGACCCCACCCATGCATGAATTCGTGCACCGGGCCTCTAGAGTGTGTGTGTGTGTGTGTGTGTGTGTGTGTGAGATTACTAAAGGGGGCCTCTAGAGTGTGTGTGTGTGTGTGTATGTTACTAAAAAAATACAGTAACTTCCTTGCCCTCGAGAGTTTTAAATTTGAGAGACAAAATATACACAGATAAAATACGAGAATAATTATAAACTACTGTATTAAGGTGAAATATTAAGATGCAGGTCAAAAGCATAATTGCTATGGTTTATAAAGTGTGATCAAGGCAAGCCGTTATTAATCAGGGAATTCATCCTGAAGGTAATGATTAAGCCTGGTTTTAAATGCCTTGGGTGAGTAAAGAGGTTTTAGAGGGATTGAGTCTATTAGAGAGGGAGTTAGCAGGTCTGACAGCTTGGAGGTGCAAGAGGCATCTGAATGGCAAGCCAGCTGGTCTGATCATGCCAGTGTGCCCTGCAGGTGTGCCTGGTCCGAAGTTTCTGACACTCGGGGTTGAGTGTGTCGTGCTTATGCAAGGTTTACTGTGACTCTCCTGACAGAGTGAGCTGAATGCATACAGCCAGGAAGTCATTACCATTCATGGGGAAGTTGACCTCGTGCTGGAGCAGCTTCCCGAGTGGATTACTGCTAAGCCAGCCAAGAAGAACCTGCTCACCATGATGGACGAGGCCTACATCCAGCCAGAGCCCCTGGGGGTCGTCCTGATTATCGGGGCTTGGAACTACCCCTTCGTTCTCACCATGCAGCCACTGATAGGAGCCATTGCTGCAGGTCTGATGTCAGCTTATGTCTTTATACCTTTTCAGAGGATCCTATTCTCCTTGATTATAAATTAAGGATGGTGGCTAATTAAGCACATTTGCTTTGATGGCATGCCTTGGTTTACACCAAGAGAATTTTAGAATATAAAGGCGTGAGTGGAATTGGAGTCAGGCATCCATATGCTAATGTGGTTTCAGTTGCCAGCTGTGGCCATGGATGAACCATTTGATTCTGTCTGGCCATTTCTTCATTCAGATAAGGGCTATGGGAGCCATGCTGGCCTGGGTTCATAGTAAATGCCAAGAGATTAAGGGCTCATTTCTGCAGGATCCAGAATGGCAGCTTTATGTTGACAAGGCCTGTTTGCCCAATAATTCCAGGGCAGAGAGGAAAGTCCAGGCGTGGGAGTAGGAGAAAAGTGATGGGAAGATAGAGGAGTGGGG